CCAAAGAAGATATTCAGGCAGCTAACAGACACATCAAGAAATGCTCACGATCATTAGCCATTAGAGAAATGCAGATCAAAACTACAATGAGATATCATCTCACACCAACAAGGCTGGCATTAATCCAAGAAACACAAAATAATAAATGCTAGAGAGGTTGTGGAGAGACTAGAACACTTATACATTGTTGGTGGGAATGTAAACTGGTACAACCACTTTGGAAATCGATTTGGTGCTTCCTGAAAAAGCTAGAAACAGAAGTACCATACGATCCAGCTATCCCACTCCTTGGAATATATCCTATAGAAATAAGATACGTCATACAAATAGTTATATGCACACCCTTGTTCATTGCCGCACTGTTCACAATAGCAAAAAGATGGAAACAACCTAGGTGCCCATCAATGGACGAATGACTAAACAAATTATGGTATATCCACACGATGGAATACTACGCAATGATAAAGAACAACAATGAAGCCGTGAAATATAACATAGAGGAAGCTGGAGGTCATTTCTGAGTGAATTTAGTCAGTCACAAAAGGACAAATATTGTATAAGACCACTACTATAAGAACTCAAGAAAAGGTTAAAACACAGAAGAAAACATTCTTTGATGGTTACGAGGGTGGGGAGGGAGGGTGAGGGTTATTTACTAACTAGATAGTAGATAAGAATGATATTAAGTGAAGGGAAGGACAGTACACACTACAAGGGAAGTCAGGACAACTGGACTAAACCAAAGCTAAGAAGTTTCCTGAATACAATGAAACACTTTGAGGGACAGAGTAGCAGGGGTAGGGGTCTGGGGACCATGCTTTCAGGGGACATTTAGGTCAATTGCATAACAAAGCTTATTAAGAAAATGTTCTGCATCCTCCTTTGGTGTGCAGCATCTGGGGTCTTGAAAGCTTGCAAGCAGCCATCCAAGATGCATCAATTGGAAAAAAGGAGAATGAAGAACACCAAAGATACAAGTTAAGTATTATCCCAAGAGATAGAAAGGTCACATAAACCAGAGACTTCATCAGCCTGAGACCAGAAGAACTAGATGGTGCCCAGCTACCACCAATGACTGCCCTGACAGGGATCGCAACAGAGAGTCTCAGATGGAGGAGGAGAAAGTTGGGGTGCGGAACTCAAATTCTAGTGAGAAGACCAGACTTAATGGTCTGACTGAGACTGGAGGAACCCCGGAAAGCATGGTCCCTGGATTCTCTATCAGCCTAGGACTAAAACAGTTTCCAAGGCCAACTCTTCAGACAGGGATTGGACTGGACTGTGGGACATAAAGTGATACTCGTGAGGAGCGTGCCTCTTAGGTCAAGTAGATACAAGAGACTAAATGGGCCGCTTCTGTCCGGAGGTGAGATGGGAAGGCAGAGAGGGTTAGGAGCTGGTTGAATGGACATGGGGAATCAAGGGTGGAAAGAAGTGTGCTGTCACAGTATGGGGAGAGCAATTAGAGTCACATAACAATGTATATATAAATTTTTGTACAGAAAAAATAAAAAAAATTGCTTCTTTCCTGTTTTTTTTCAACAGGTATCTTTCTCTTTGAGTTTCAACATTTTAACAATTGTGTCTGGTCATGCATCTGTATGTGTTTATCCTGCTTACAGTTCACTGAAGTTCTTTCATCCAATGTGAGACATTTTAAGCCATTATTTTTCAAATAATTGTTTGCTTTCTTCTCTCTTTCCTCTCCCTGGTACTTCCACTATAAATATGTTGCTGTGCATAATGGTGTCCCACATATGTCTGAGTCAATGTTAATTCTTCTTCTTTCTTTTTTTCACTCTGTTCTTCAGATTACTTAATTTCTATTGACCTATCTTCAAGTCTGCTGATAATTTTTCTACCAGTTCAAAACTGCAGTTGAGTACCTGTAGTAAATTTTAGAATTTTTTTCTTAAGTCCAGCATTTTCATCTTTTTTTTTTTAATCATTTCTATCTTTTTATTCATACTCTGTATTTGGTAAGACACTTTCTTCATTTTGTTTTAATAATTTAATCAGAGTTTCCTTTGGGTCTTTGCACATATTTATAATGGCTGATTGGAATTTTTTGTCTCTTAAATATAACATGTGTGTCCTCTCAAAGGCAGTTTCTTTTGCCTGTTTGTTCCCTCTGTATATTGGTCACATTTTTCTGTTTCTTTGCCTGATTCTTAATTTTTTTGTTGTTGTTGAACACTGGACATTTTAGATAATATATTGTAGTAACTGTGTATACTGATGTCTCTCTAAAGATTTTTATTCATATAGTTCACTTGTTTATCTGTTGAGTGATTTGGCTGTACTATTTTAGTAAAGTTTATTTCTCCCTTATTCTGAACCCACTTGATCTTACTCCTCAGAGTGTGCAGTGTTGAACACGTGTGTAGTCACCCTTGGATGACTCTTCTCTTTGGCTCTCTTTAGCTGTCTCTTTCCTGATCTCTTTTTTAATCTGTCTTCCATCTGTTGTTATCACACCCAGTGTTTTACTACTCTAATTACTCTGTTCTTTTTTCATAATGCCCTGGGGCTTATATTGCTCCAAATATGATCCAAATAAATTCAAGTGCTATTTCAGAGGTAGTCTTTGGGGCCTTTGGGGCCAGTCTTTGAGATTTGTTCTGATCCCCGGAGGGCTCTTCTTGCTGTTTCCTTCCTTTGTTCTTTGTGGTAAACTCTGTGGCATAAAGTTTAGCTTGTGGCCTTCGTGGAACTACCAGCCTCATCGTAATTATTTACTACCTACATTTCTCTCTCTCTCTTTTTTTTAAGTATATTTATGCCTAAACTTCTCCACATTCTGTTCCAAATAAAGTCAGTTACTTTGGGTAAAGCATCAGAGATTTTGATTCCTATGGCTTGTGTCTCCTCAGGGCAAAATCTCTAAATCACTGCTCTGTAGCTGGTGGAAGAGACAGTGACCCAATTCTCTTGGAGTGACATCACTGCTCACTGTGCAGGAGAAGTTGCCCATAGTCTTCTCACAGTGCCTCTCTTGATTTGGAAGCTTCAACCTACAGATAAGCTAGCCGAGCCAGGAGCAGAGCCTCTGCACATGGATTGGGGACTGGGTGTAGGAAGGGAGTCCCTGTCACTACTGGCTATATTTGCTAGGATTTTAGCCTGTCAAACACAGAGCTGGGGAAGATAAAAAGAACAAGTGGCCTGATTCTTCTAGAGAGATGCTATAGCCCTTGACTAGGAGTTGGGAGAGACAGAGTACCATCTTCTTGTTCATACTTACCTTGAAGGGCTCTTCATCACAGTGAAAGGGGGGGTAGGCAGAGCAAGGGAACAGAAAATGGCTCAAGTGACACATGCTCCTTCTCTTAGTGAGATTTAGTTGATTTTCTAGCATAAATATTTCTTCATTTACTGTAAGCTAGTAGCAGGTTCTCAGAGCTCCTCATGTTTTTAGTTCAGAAGTCATTAATTCTGAAGCTTAAATTCATAACATTAATAAGTAAAGGTTTAATTTTCAATTACAATTTTCCAGAACCTGTATAGCTATGTATCCTTCAGGGTTCTCCAGATAAACAGAATAAATAGGATATTTTATATTTATATGTATATTTATGTTTATGTAAGGGAAGTGACTTATGATTGTGGGGACTGACAAATCCAACATACATAGGGCAGGCTAGCAGGCTGAAAACTCAGACAATATTTCTGTGTTACAGTTTTCAGGTAGAATTCCTTCTTTTCTTGGAAACCTCAATATTTGCTCTCAAGACTTTCAACTGGTTGGACGAAGTCCGCTTACATTGTCAAGGGTAGTCCCTTTTACTTAAAAACCAACCCATTGCTGTTGAGTCTATTTCAACTCATAAAGATCCTATAGGACAGAATAGAACTGTCCCACAGGGTTTCCAAGGCTGTAAATGTTTATGGAAGCAGACTGCCACATTTTTCTCCCACGGAGGAGTGGCTGGTGAGTTCAAACCACCAACCTTGCAGTTAACAGCTGAGCACTCATACCCTGTGACAGCAGGGCTCTTTCTTTTACTTAGAGTCAACTATACATTTTAATCACATCTACAAACTATCTTCATAGCTACATCTAGATTACTGTTTGCCCAAGCAACTGGACACTGTAACCTAGCCAAGTTGGTAAAGAAAAGTAACCATCATAAGCTAAAACCAGACAATTTATATAAACACATGAAATGATGTTCAACAGTATTCACAAAAAAATATAAAAGCAAATGAATACTTAACTAATACCACTTTCACCTACATGGACAAAGATTCAAAAGATTACAATTAGACTATGTCCCTGAGAATATTAGGGAAAGAAGACACTCTCACATATTAGTGAAAATTATAGAGCAATTTGGTGATATATTTCCAAATTTTAAAATTATTACATATTTTGTCCCAATTATTCTATTTCTGTAAATTTACTTTTCAGATACATTTATTCAGATGTGAAATTATGTATGTACAAAATTTAAAAAATCTGCAGTATAAACAGTGGAAAAATCTTTTTTTATCAATTACTTATCAATGATACAATGATATGCCATACAGCTGTTAATAAAATGAGGCAGCTCTATATGTACAGATATGGATTTTTCTCCAGAAATTCAAGAAACAGAGCAGTGTGTATAAAATTCTACCATTTTTCAAAATAAATTTTAAATAAACTCAGTATTACATTATCAGTAGAAATATACAAACACAAAAGTTATTCAACTTCTTTCTCACTGGAGAAATAAAGGAATTAGAAACAAGAGCAGATGGTAGATTTACTTCTCACTCTATATCCGTTTACATCTTTTAAATTTCTTACTAAGTAGCCTTTTTCAAAACACATATATATTAAATATATATATGTTATGTATATATCTACATAACATATAGCATACATATCCCAACAATTTTAAACAAAGAAAGATTGTTATTATAACATATTATAAAGAAGTTAATTATGATTTATCAGTATAATTCAATTTTTTTGATAAATAGGTGATAGTCTTAGCTCAAACAGTGATAAATACCTGGGTCCATTACTTTCCTCTTTACAAATGGTTTTATGTTGACATCCACTTTCTTTACAATCAGTTGTATTTTCCACATACATTTTGCCAGACCACCGGGGAATACATATACATTGATATCCTTGGCTGTGTTCATTGGTCAAACATCTGTGTGCATTTGTACATGTCTATAAAAATAAGAAATAAGAATATTGTAAATCCCCATCACATGCAATGTTACAATTGTTTCTTTGTTTGCATTTCATGTTTTCCTTTATGGATTAAATTCACGCATTTCTTTACAAGGGTAAAAATGAATTCATTTGTAAATTATATTAAAATAATTTAAAAATCATGTTCAGATTTTATAGTAGAAATATATAAATTGTCAAAAGATAAACAGGTAAACATCTACTATACAATTGTTTTTAAAAATGTATAAAATTGATCAAAATTTAATAGTTTTTTAATAAGTTAACTAAAGTAGAGAGAGAGAGATTAGATATACAAAATGAAAGAGAGAGATGATAGACGATAGACAGAAGATAGAGGATAGATAGCTAGATGGCAGAAAGGCTTTGTATGAATAAATGATAATGTGCCGTCATACTAGGACTAAATTAACTTAAATCTCAGTAACTGAAGTTCAGAAGTTCAAGAGGAGACACAGAGTAAGAGGGAGAGGAAAAGCAAGAGAGCTAGAATAAGAAAAAAAGACAACAGGCTAACATTTAGATCTGAAATCCATAGCTAGATAATCTTCACCTACTTACATGCCCCATACATCTCAGTATATATATATATATAGAGAGAGAGAGAGAGAGAGACAGAGAGAGAGAGAGCTCTGGTGACACAATGGTTAAGAGCTACGGCTGCTAACCAAAAGGTTGGCTGTTCATTGGCAGTTCGAATCCACGAGTCACTCCTTGGAAACCCTGTGGGGCATTTCTACTCTGTCTTATATGCTCACTCTGACCTATATGGTCGCTATGAGTTGGAATCAACTCGACGGCAATGGGTATATATATATATGTATATATATATATATATATACATATATATATATATCTACATTCATCTATCTGTCTGTCTATACATACATATACATATATGTTTCAACAAAGGGATGTAATGCTACAGATGCTCACGCATCTATACCAAGAAATTTGGAAGACAGCTGACTGGCCAACCAACTGGAAGAGATCCACATCTGTGGTCATTCCAAAGAAAGATGATCTAACAAATGCAGAGATTATCAAACAATATCATTAATATCACAGGCAAGCAAAATTTGTTGAAGATAATTCAAAAGCAGATGCAGCAGTACATTACAGAGTACTGCCAGAAATTCAAGCCAGATTCAGAAGAGGATGTGGAAGGAGGGATAACATTGCTGATATCAGATGGATCTTAGCTGAAAGCAGAGAATACCAGAAAGATGTTTATCTGTGTTTTATTGACTATGCAAAGGCATTCAACTATGTGAATTATAACAAATTATGGATAACATTTCGAAGAATGGGAATTACAGAACACTTAATTGTGCTTGTGTGGAACCTGTACATAGTCCAAAAGACAGCCATTTGAACAGAGCAAGGGATAATCTTCATTTAAAATCAAGAAAGTTGTGCATCAGGATTGCATCCTTTTACCAAATTTATTCAATCTGTATGCTGAGCAAATAATCTGAGCAGCTGGACTATATGAGGAAGAACGAGGCATCAAGATTGGAGGAACACTCATTTACAAACTGTAATATGCAAATGACACAACCTTGCTTGCTGAAAGTGAAGAGGACTTGAAGCACTTACTGAAGATCAAAGACCGCAGCCTTCAATATGGATTAGACCTTAACATAAAGAAAACAAAATCTTCACAACTAGATTAATAAGCAGCATCATAATACATGGAGAAAGTATTGAAGTTGTCAAGGATTTCATTTTACTTGGATCCACAATTAATGCCCTTGGAAGCAGCAGTCAAGAAATCAAATGAGGTAGTGCACTGGGCAAATCTTCTGCAATAGACCTCTTTAAAGTGTTAAAAAGCAAATATGTCACTTTGAGGACTAAGGTGCGCCTAACCCAAGCCATGGTATTCAGTCACGTCATGTGCACACGAAAGCTGAACAATGAATAAGGAAGACCAAAGAAAAACTAATGCCTTTGAATTATGGTGTTGGCGAAGAATATTGAATTTACCATGGACTGCCACAAGAACGAATAAATCTGTCTTGAAAGAAGTACAGCCAGAATGCTCCTTTGAAGCAAGGATAGAGAGATTTTGTCTCACACACTTTGGACATGTTATTAGGAGCGACTAGTCCCTGGAGAAGGATATCATGATTGGTAAAGTAGAGGGTCAGTGAAAATGATGAAGACCCTCAATGAGATGGATTGACAGAGTGGCTGCAACAATGGGCTCAAGAATAACAATGATTGTGAGGATGGTGCAGGACAGAGCAGTGTTTCGTTCTGTCGTACATAGGGTCGCTGTGAGTCTGAACTGACTTGACAGCACCTAAGAACATAACTACGATCATTTCAATAAATAACTTGTTTCTCTATAAATTATTTTATAATTTTCATATTACACTAGTGTGTAGGGTCACTTAGCATAGGGGTCTTTTTGGAAAGAAACTTTGTCAGGCCTAATAGATGACAAATATTTCACTATTTTTTTTTCTCTTGTTAAAGAAATAGATACAGGAAGTGACTTCTGTAAGAAGAGTGGGCAACTATTGTTTTTCATAATATGTGGAAGCCTGGATTATTAGAAATATAGTCTTGGCTAAATAAAAATGTATCAATTTATAAATTACATCTGTATGAATTTCAGTCCCAATTTACACCATTTTGGGTGTGGTCAAAAACTCTGAAGTAGGTAGAGCTTGGTAAAGGTCTTTCAGATCCCGATTTTTAGTGTTCCTTTGTCTCTTTTATTTTGTTTCAAAATTTCCTCCCCCTAAGCTGGTGATAGGGAACCCAAGGTTGAGTAAGGATATTGTTGATGTGTTGTGAGATTGTTAACCATTGTCATAGGGCAACATTTGTAGTGACTGTTGAAAGAGAAACTATTTTGTTCTGTAAGCCTTCATCTTAAGTGAGAATAACAGCACAATTGGAAGAGCGTAGTCAATGTCACTGAACTGTGCATGCAGACATTTTTGAAATGGTATATCTTTGGCTATATGTATTTTCACCAAAAAAAAAAAAAAAAAAGGTTGAGAAGTTAGAGGGTTGACATGTCGTGGGGTTGTTAACCAATGTCATAAAACAATATGTGTACTACTGTTTCATGAGAAACTATTTGTTCTGTAAGCCTTCACCTGAAGTACAATAAAAAAAAAAAAAGTTCCTCCCCCTTAGTAACTTATGATAATATAATTGCATAACTTGTGTGTAGTAGGGTTGTAGAAAACAAGATAAACGCATTTGTGTGTTTCCCTTACAGTAGTGTTTGGACTTAAGAGGATCTCAGAGATGGGGCACTGTTTAAATCGCGCATCATAAATAAATAAATAAACACTTCTGGAATTTCCATCTTTGATGATAAAATTGTAATAAAACGAATTTCTTGTCCCCATATTAAAAAAAAAAAAATACTGAGGAAAAAAAATAACTTACTATTTGCTCTATGAAATCCTTAGCCCTGGAAGGTAAAACTGAATCAACTAAAATAAGTTATTTACCAAGATTAACAGCTTGCTGATCAAGACTCACTTTAAGATTCTCATTAGTTGTGCCCACCAGAGTTTATTTGTAAACTCTGACCAATCCATACCAGTTCTCCCATGCCTTAATAACCTCATAAATATCTTCTCATGACTTCTCTCTTCTGAAACACTGAGACTCTATTGTTGTGGTTTGCTGTTGAATTGATTTGCCACTCATAGTGACCCCATGTGATATAGTAGAACTGCCCCATAGAGTTTTTTTGGCTGTAATCTTTTTAGAAGCAGATTGCCAGGGTTTTCTCCTTCAGAGCCTCTGGGTGGGTTTGAACCACCAACCTTTCTTTTTAGCTGGATTCCCAGTGCTTAACCATTGTACGACTAGGGCTCCTTAAGATTCTATTAAGGTGTTGTTTTCCTTTATTTCAGAAGATCTAGAATAACCAGTTTTTTGTTTGTTTGTTTTTCTTGATAAACACAGTTGTCTGGTGGTATTTTGGGAGTCATCAGTGAACAAACCCACTGTTTCACAGAGATCCAGTTAGGATGCCATCACTACTAAGGCTCAGGACCCTGAAGTCCAGACAGTGTACTATCCTGAAACTGTTAGATACTCTTCTCTCCAATTGTAACAGTGATGTAGGTATCACATCAAGCTTGAATTGCAGTTTATTTTTATCAAATTCCCAAAGGCAAAGTTCATTTTCTCTCTTAGAAATAAGACTACATTTTAGGAATCCCTTGATTATGTGATACAGTTTCAACACTCTGTCCATCATCATCTCTTCCTCTGCTTAATCTATAAGAAGACGTCTATTGGGAGAAGACAAGCATAGGCCTCATAAACTTCATTACCCAGCTTGTGTTAATGAGTGATGAGTTCAGATGATTATATCAGTCAGGTATTTATGGAACAAAATTTTCTTTGAGTCACCTTTTCAAAATGTTGTAGACATTTTTTGTTAGGCCCCCAATTGTGATTGACTAGTCTTCAGCAGATTCTGAGGACATGACAGTATACAAGAACTGACACAAGTGTTGATGGAGTCCTCTCAGTCTCTTAGGCCCTTTACAACACAAACTCTTCCTCCATAATTTAACTCATGTGCATATCTCTCTAATTGGTAGAATTTCTCCAAGGACAATTTGAAATGGCAGGGGCGACTCTGGGGAAATTTTGACATAAACAAGACTGTTCATTTGACAGATGCATAATAACACAAAGGAGAAAACCCTCATGAGGAGATTCTCTGTATTGTGTGTCTAATAGAGACATTACGTAATGCACAAAAACACCCCCTTTCATCTTCATACTTCTGGGATTAATAAGCATTAGATTTTTAATTATATGGCTCTATAGAATTGTCAAGCATATGATTTACTGTTGAAATTATCCCAAATAACTTATTCTCATTTGTGTGCATGTGTGTGTGAAATGTTTTTTTTTTTGCATTTAAGCATCCAACATTCTTTACAGAGTGAAGATAGTCATTACTTCATATCTGCTAAAAGCTAGGTCCCCTTCTTCATTTTCCCTTTTCTTCCTCTTTTTTGTTTGGAAAACCTTTGAAATTAACTGAACATAAATAATTATTTGAACATTCTGGAACTACTGATTATATAAATAGACAAAAATTTACAAGGGAAAAAAATTGAATAAACCGTGCTTCTTTTGTATGTTTTCTCTTGCCAAAACTTTAACAAAGCCAGAAAAACAGTGTACCTGTGGATTATATAGTAGAATTAGTCTCTTAGATGAAAAGAACATTAGACTTTCAGAGCTTTTGGCAAAAACTCAAAAGTCATAGTTTTATTTTATTTTTTTAATATATGAAAACAAAAAAACAAAACAAATCCATTTGAAATCAGGAGTTTAACTCATTGCTGTTGAGTTAATTCCAATGCATGGTGAGTCCATGTGTTACAGAGCAGAACTGCTCCATAGGCTGTAATAAAAGTTTATTTATATTTAAAATAGCTTGTGTAATTTCATAATGAATAAATGACTCTGTAAAGAAATTATAATGATTTAATTTAACTTAAAAAATTCTCTATGTGTTCGCCTAATTTTATCACCATGTATAAAACTTCAGTATCATTTCTCATGATGCAAAAATTATAAATTTTGTACATAGATTTTAAGGATCTAGTAAGTTGTTTTTGTTTCCTCAAATTATTTAAGATTACAGAAACAAATTACTTTTAAGTAATTGAAATTTTAATATCAGATATATTTTAAAAGAATTTGATCTTATGAATTCTTATAATACTACAAATCATAGGTACTTAACATGGTGGTTTAAATTAAATTTTAAATCTGTAGTCAACGTTAAGACCTTAAACTGCTATTAAATTGAATGAATTAATAATCTTTGGATACTAGAACACTTTTTAAGTAAGGAAAATATACAAAAATTAGACTAGAAATATGGTTTCAAATTACCTTTTTCCTTATTGAACGGCAATATAATATACAAATATACTTAAATGACGTATATTTATGTTTATTTTGCCTAAAATAAAAGTTGTTCAAGTGATATAAAATGTGTGCTCACTGAAAAACAAAATAGCTAAAAAAGTGTTGGCTTACTGACTTTGCGGTTTCTCTTGACTCTGGAAAAATGTTGGTTACTTTATTTAAACGTGATGATTAATATAAAAGGTATAGAGAAACAGTAACAGGTACACAAGACAATAAGTATATTTTGCTTGTTTGTTTACTATACTAAATTTACAGATTTAATATAATATGCAATTTTGCTTAATATGCTGATAAATTTAAAAACATTTTAAAGACCATGTTAAAAGCTTTAATACAATCATCTATGTATATGTTTACTTATTGTCATTGTTTAAATACATACATTTAAAAGTATATTAAGTTTAAATCACGGGTTTATTAGTAATAGCAATGTAATAAAGATATATTTGAGGATTTAATCAGTCAGCAAATTATAACACAAGTAGGACACAAAAAGACTAGAGATAAAATTATTGCTGAAAATCTTTAATGCCTCTGCATATGATAAATATAAAAGTACATGCAGATTTCCAAGTGGAAATACAGAGAGTATTGAAAAACTCTTTATAAAGTTATATTTAAGCTATTTATATCTAGAACATTGAAGAATCTGTAGCTTTAACATCTCTAGCTTTTTTGAAATCAGACATATATGAGCCGAAGAGTCAAATGAAAAACCACTACATGAAGTTATCTCACCTCAATTATTCCTTCACATGGGAACCAACATGCATAATTAAGGTCTTCCGCATTTTTCACGTAAACAGGGACTTCATTGCAGTTTGCAATTAAAAAGAAGCAGGCATCAATAACCACCTCACAGTTTTCACCTTCAAATCCTTCCAAGCAAAGAGATAAAAAATTAAATAATCTTTTATAAATTCATGTTCATGTTGAATTATTAAGGTTAACTGTCAAATTAATTCAAAAAATCAATTTGACAACACCTACACAAAAGTTAGCTTCTATATCTTTAGATTGTAAAATTTGAACGAGACCTACAGATAATCAAGCCTAACTCTCTCATTTAACAAATGGACTGTGAAACATAGCATCAGAACAAGAACATGATGCAGCTTCCAGGCTAACGAACTTTTTTGTAAATAACCAAATGTCAAATAAATTACCAATTCTTAATTGTAAAGAAACATAAAACAAATCTTATACAAAGAAATAATAATAATAAAAGCACTACAGTAATAAGTTTTATGGATGGCTTGTTGTATACGAAACTACTCGGAAATAAATTTGGGAAAAAAAGTCCTTAAAGTTTATAACAGAAAAAAAGATCAACCCCTCATCCTAGTCTCCTGACAGGGGAAGGACATTTATGTATGTGCATGTATGTGTGTAGGTATATACATACACAAGTACATTTATATATATATATATACATGTACATATATATACACACACATACATATATATAGCTATTTCACACTCTAATGTTAGATACAATATCTGGGATACAATAACAAATGAGATACACAGAAAAAGGAAAGAATGTGATCTATATGCAAGAGAAAATCCAGTCATTAAAACCAGTCACACAGATGGCCCAGACTTAGAAATATCTGACAAGCACTTCAAAGTAGCTATGACAAATTTGTTGAACAATTTATAGGAAACCATAAATACAACAGGTAAACATATAGGGAATTAGAAAACGATAGATTTGAAAACTACAAAAAAAAAAAAAGATAATAATCAAATGGAAATCCAGGAACTGTGGGAGTAAAGAAACTAATTAAGCTGGGCTGAAACATTTTATTTCACATTAAGGGAGGTAATGTTCCTAGGTAATGAAGGAATATAGGAGACACGATCCATCTCCTTGTAAACATAATAAGTAAACCTCCTAGTCAATAGACCAATTATGTTTGTTAGGTGTATAGTATTTTTCATGGAATCCTTTAGCAAGATATTCCTGTTGAGTTTTGCTTATGGCTAACAAACATAAAATTTATGAATTTGCGAGGCAAGACTTGTTAGTGGTTAAGAACCACGGCTGCTAACCAAAAAGTCAGCAGTTCGAATCTGCCAGCCGCTCCTTGGAAACCCTATGGGGCAGTTCTACTCTGTCCTTTAGGGTCTCTATGAGTTGGAATCCACTTCACGACAATGGCTTTGGTTTGGTTTTGGTTATACAACTATCTGAAGTATAAAATGGTGACTGTTCATAAACTAAAATCTCCCTGCTGTGTGGATACCCCAATTAGAAGTCTCACAAATTAATCTGGCAAACAGGAAGGAGCTAGGAATCCATGTAGAATGTCCCAAATCTCATCAAACTCATCTGTGCAAATTTCTTGCTTACAATCTTAAAATTATAAAAAATTATTACTATATTAGTAATAAAATATGTACTGATGGGATTATCAGCAGATGAGGCAGAAGAGAAGATCAGTAGTGAATTTAATGATAGGTCAATAAATATCATATATTCAATACGATGAGGGAAAATAACTCAAACAGTTTTGCCAGCCCCATATAATTAACCAATAAGTTCTATCTCCATTTCGTGGTAGAGGTTTGTAGTATTAGAATTACCTCTTTCTTGAATATTTGGAAGTACTTGGATATAAGACCAATAATTTTTTTTAAATAATTTTATTTAATTACTTTGGAGGTTGTAGGATTATTCAGATTTTATATTTGTTTTTGAATTAGTTTTGCCAACCAGTATTTTTCCAAGAATTTATCCATGTCATCTAAAATTTCTAGCTTACTAGCTGAGAATTTTCCATAATAATGCCCTAAATCTTAATCCCCAAAGACAATGGGGGAAGAGACAAGAGTGAGGAAATATTTTTAATGAATTTTGAGAAGCTGAAAAGATGATGGAATATTAGTGACTAAATTAGCGAACTACTATAACCCATTGCCCTTGAGTCTGTTCCAACTCATAGCAACCCTACAGGACAGAATACAACTGCCTCATAGGCTTGCCAAGGCTATAATCTTTATAGAAGCAGACTGCCACATCTTTCCCCCAAAAAACTGCTGGTAGATTCAAACCACTGACCTTTTGGTTAGCAGCTGAGTGTTTAACCACTGTGCCACCAGATTTCCTTAAATTAGCAGAATAGTAGTAGTCAAAACACACATGTGATGAGAGGGCATAATTATAAAGAGAAAATTCATTCACCTAGCAGATATTTTGAGATGCTTGAGACTTAAAGTTATGAGAATGTGGTACTGAAGTGGTTTCTGGAAACATGGAGATTAGTTGACACTCATTGGTTCTCTCCCAACACACAAATCCAGTTAATTATTCTGATCCCTTACTCACCTCCCCTAGGCACACAACAAATCATTATTAGGTTTATCCTCAAGAGAAAGAGAATCTCAGAGACACCTGCCTCAAGGATCTCAAGCTCATTGGGTTTCCCACAATGAAATGCCGGCTGCCAACTGGCTACTCTGTAATACAGATCCCTGTCATTAAGGCCTATCTTCACTTGGTACACTTGCAGTCAGTCTTGTTAGTTTCTCACCATTAAATATGATTGAACACCATTTGGCAGAAATACTCCAAATGAGAAAAGAACAATGTAACAAGTACTTACAGAAAACAGACTGAGTGGAACGGAAGAAAATTAAACAAAACAAAACTATAATATTATTAAATATATAAGAAAAAGGGTATTTTATCTGTATTAAAGAAGAGAATGCCATGAAAATGTAAGATTTGGGGAATAGGAAAATGCTCTGAAAAATTACAAATATAATAAAATAAAAATGTCAACACCAATTTTGAGATATTCGATTGGGGAAATACACTAGAATAGATAACATAAAAAAGAAATGGAAAATAAACCAGAAATATGAGAAAATGAGACAATCAATTAAGGAGAGCCACTATCCAATTACTTGATTAGGGTCTACAGAAAAGAGAAATTATCAGTAAAATAACACAAAGACTATCTAAAAATTAAAAGACACATGCTTACATATAAAAGAGGTTACCAAGTGACTCATAATGAATGAAGGACCATACACCCAAAAATAGTTCCAACATTGTAAAGTTTCAGAACACTGGGGCAAAGAACATTAAAAAAAAAAAAAAGACTTTCAAAGAAATAAATGTAAGTTGAATACAAAGAATCAAAATGTAGCATGTTATATACATGATTCAACACCCTTCCATGCTTTGCTTTCTTTTCAATTTTTATCTCATAGTTTTACTATGTGAGTACTGGCAGCCTTCCACATTTATTTCTAAAGCTAAAATCATTCTTTTGCTGTAATAAACAATGGTTCCATTTATAAACTTGCATATATATTACTAAGTATGTGGATGCATTCTCAGTGATGGAAAGGTTAGGTCAAACACTATATGCATACATAATAATGATGGATATTACAAAATTGTCCTTCAGATATTTTAGCAATTTTACATTATCACCAGTAAGGAATAAAAGCACCAGTTGTCAAACTCAAATTTTTGCAAGGCTGCTAAGAGAAAAAATATATATACATTTTTTTTATTATTTGTTTTTGCTTTCATTATGAATAAAGTTGAGCATTTCCCCATATATTTAGCGATGTTTTCTGTTTCTTCTTTTATAAATATTTATGATATTAACTGTTTTATCTATTAGATTTTTGGTCTTTTGATTGCTCCTCTTAATTTCTAGGAGTTGTTTTTGTATTAGTGGGACTAATCCTACTGTAAAGTGAAACATGCACAATTTATCTTTTGACTTCTTGTGTTTTTTGACAAGCAGATATATGTATGTCATGGATTGAATTATGTCCCCCCCAAAATGTGTGTATCAATTTGCTTGGGCCATGATTCCCAGTATTGTGTAGTTGCCCTCCATTTTGTGATTGCAATTTTATGTTAAAGAGAATTATGGTGGGATTGTAACACCCTTACTAAAGTCACATCCCTGATCCAAAGTAAAGGGAATTTCCCTGAGGTGTGACCTGCACCACACTTTATCTAGTAAGAGATAGAAGGAAAGGGAAGCAAGCAGAGAGTTGGGGACCTCATACCACCAGAAAAGCAGTGTCAGGAGCAGAGCGTGTCCTTTGGACCTGAGGTTCCTATGTTGAAATGCTCCCAGACCAAGGAAAGACTGATGAACCACAAGGACCTTCCTCCAGTGCCAACAGAAAGAGAAAGCCTTCTCATGGAGCAGAGGCCTTGAATTTGGACTTGTAGCCTACTAGACTGTGAGAGAATAAATTTCTCTTTGTTAAAAGCCATCCACTTGTATTTCAGTTACAGCAGCACTAGATG